GTCAGTAGTCGAACATTACTCTCTTCCTAATTTTCTCTACTTTCTCTCTCTTTCTCATTTCTTTCATCAAATCCCACCTCTCCTACTCTTCTTCTTCTTACCTTCCGCAATCTTTTTTCACGAACTCCCATCAATTCACAGCAATCCCGGCACTTCCTTCTTCCCCGAATCGTTCTTGCCGATCCCATTCTTCTCAAATACCTAGGGCTTCCCTGCACTGTCCCAGCGAAGGATTTGCATTACCTTCCCTCTCCCCGCCTCCAGTTTCGCGCTCTGATCAATTACTCAGAGGAGGAGTTGAGCTTCACAGCTTCAGGCATGTGAAATGAGTTCAAATTTCCTTTCTTTTCTGCCTTCCCGTGTTCTTTTTTGGTGGGGTTCTTTTTACAGTCCCCTGGTTCAGTTCATTTCGGGGTGTTTGGAGATCGTCTGTGAATTTTTTTTACCTTGTTGTGCTTCTCAATTTCTGGGGTTTAGATCTGCTTCTGATGAGGTGGTTGTGCTTTCTCGTTTAGGGTGGTTGCGATTGTGATGGGTTGTTTGGCTTCAGAGAGAAGGGGAAATGAAAGGATGACTGAGTGAAGCCCATTACTTCGGATGAGTGGTGAATTTTAAGGGCAGGAACTGGTTTTGATTACTTGTTGAGGTGGAGGCTAAGTTATTGTTGTGAAATGCTAGCAATGGGCTTTTCCTTCGCTATAGTGTAGTGGGTACTGGGTTATGAAGGCTATCTAGGACTTCCCCTTTTCTCTTTCCGGATTGATAGCTGTTTTGGCAGTTGGGCAGTTGGGTGTATTTGGAGTTTCAGTTCGGTATTTGAGAGTATTAAAGAGGTAGTTTTTCTAGCTGCACACTTCTGTTTCTGCCTTGGGTGGAGGTCATATGGAAAAGCCTCTAGGATGAGATGCTTATGCTGAACATGCCCTGCTACTTCTTCTCTATGCAGGTTAATCGTTTCTGGTAAATGTTGGGTTCTTGCTTAATATTTGCAGTGAACTTGAATCATTTTCTTTTTGCCCTTGAGTTTTGTAATCCGTGCTTGTGGATTTCCTTAAACTAGGTGCGAATGTGATTAGACTAGGACTATTAGTCTGAGTGATAGCTTAGGTTCCTGGAAGTGGGGAAACATGCGTCCGTGGTGGGGGAAGTCGTCGTCTAAAGAAGTGAAGAAGAAAGGAAGCAAGGAAAGTTTCATTGATACATTGCACCGGAGATTCAAGAGTCCATCTGATGGTAAATTAAGCAGTAGATCAGGAGTTTCCAGGAGACATTTAAATGACACCGTGTCAGAGATGGGAGCACAATCTCGGCCTGATTCCAGATCACCATCTCCTCCTTCCAAACATGTCTCTAGATGTCAAAGTTTTGCTGAAAGGCTTAGTGCGCAACCACTTCCTCGTCCTGGAGTTCATCCTGCAGCTGTGGGGCGTACAGATTCTGAGCTTGGTGTAACCACAAAACCCAGGTTGGAGAAAGCCCCTAAGTCTTTTTTGCCTCTACCTAGACCTGCATGCATCCGGAATAAATCGAATCAGGCAGATTTAGATGGAGATTTGATCACTGCATCAGTCTCAAGTGCAAGTTCAACTGATATTGATGATCCTGTTGATCTTAATCAACCTAGTCCTCGGGCAACTGACTGTGACCTTGGAACAAGAACAACGGTCAGCAGCCCTTCAAGGTGAGGCCAAGTGATATTTCTATGCGATACTATTGTTAATTTGTTATCATTACTGTAGTTATTTATTCTTTTTTCTCATCCGTGACCAAAATTTCCCCTTGTCATTCTGAAGTGGGGTGCTCAAGGATCATGCCTCTACTGCATCAACTATGAAGCCAAGAGAGGCGAAGAAACCAGCAAAGCTCTCTTTGTGTACTTTCACCACTCCCACATCACCCAACAGGAGACCTCTAAGAGGTCATGTGCCAAATCTGCAGGTTCCCCATCACGGTGCTTTCTGTAGTGCTCCTGACAGTTCAATGTCAAGTCCTTCAAGAAGTCCATTGAGAGGTTTTGGAACTGATCATGCTGCTAATTCTGCTCTGTGGGCTGGGAGGCCTTATACCGATGTCACATTGCTTGGATCTGGCCATTGTTCTAGCCCTGGATCCGGTTACAACTCTGGACAAAATTCAATGGGAGGGGACATGACAGGCCAGCTATTCTGGTACCAAACCAGAGGTAGCCCTGAATGTTCTCCGATACCGAGTCCTCGAATGGCTAGCCCGGGCCCCAGTTCCAGAGTCCAAAGTGGTGCTGTCACACCTATACACCCCAGAGCAGGAGGTAGTGGCACTATTGAGTCGCAAACAAGCTGGCCTGAGGATGGAAAACAACAAACTCACCGGTTACCACTTCCTCCTGTTACCATTTCCAATTCGTCTCCTTTCTCTCATCCCAACTCAACTGCCACATCTCCATCTGTGCCAAGAAGTCCAGGAAGGGCGGAAAATCCAACAAGTCCTGGATCACGCTGGAAGAAGGGGAAATTGCTAGGTAGAGGGACATTTGGCCATGTTTATGTTGGCTTTAACAGGTATGACGCTTACATATCTAGCTACAATTTGCTTCAAAGAATCACATTTTGGGCTATCTCCTGGTAGTAATTTGCTATGTTGCATGAAAAGTGTGAACTTTTGAATTTATTCAGCATAAAGAACACTAGAATTTTCAGCTGAGGTTGTCACTTGATTATTTTACTTTCTTGAAAGTCGAAACTTTATCTTCCCTATTTTGATCATGTAGCAAAACCGTTAAATTAATATCTGATTCTGTGCCTTTGAATTGCTTAGTGAAAGTGGGGAAATGTGTGCAATGAAGGAGGTGACCTTATTTTCAGATGATGCCAAGTCACGCGAGAGTGCCAAACAATTAATGCAGGTACATTGAACTCTGTGGTCTTTCTTTGTCCACCCTCTATAATCTTAGAGGGAATTTCTTACTGTTGAGCTTTGTAACAGGAAATTGCTTTGTTGAGCCGGTTACGGCATCCAAACATTGTGCAATATTATGGGTCAGAGCAAGTCGATGACAAACTATACATATATCTGGAGTATGTATCTGGTGGGTCTATCTATAAAATTCTCCAGGACTATGGTCAGTTGGGCGAGCTGGCAATTCGTAGCTACACCCAGCAAATCTTGTCTGGCCTGGCATTTTTACATTCCAAAAGCACTGTACATAGGTGAACCAAGTTATATCTGTTAACCAGATGCAGTTAGTTTCCCTGAGCTTTGACATTGCTCACTCCCCCCTTGGTATTTGGTTTGCAGAGACATTAAAGGAGCAAACATTCTTGTGGATCCAAATGGCCGTGTTAAACTGGCAGATTTTGGGATGGCAAAGCATGTAAGAAAAGAGCAAACTTTGATCTAGGAGGGCATAGTGTTTGTGTATTGAATTCGTGCTATCTAGACTTACCATCTTTGTTTTGCAGATCACTGGGCAGTCATGTCCTTTATCTTTTAAGGGAAGCCCTTATTGGATGGCACCTGAGGTCAGCATTTTTCTTGTGTTTTTTGAAGTGCTATGCCCTTAACAGATCGTGCTCATTATTCATATCCCTCATCTCTCATAGGTTATAAAAAACTCAAGTGGCTGCAACCTTGCTGTGGACATATGGAGTCTTGGATGTACTGTTCTGGAAATGGCTACAACTAAACCACCATGGAGCCAGTTCGAAGGGGTAAATAGTCTATCGATTATGATTTTGAAAATCCTAATAGGACGCGGTCAAGCCTCTTATTCTACTTGGTGTGCCTTGAAACACAGAAGTAGTGGAATATGATTTACTCTGTTGTGTTCATCTTCTTGATAATGGAATCATTACTGTTTTTTAAGGTTGCTGCAATGTTTAAGATTGGAAATAGTAAAGATCTCCCTGCAATCCCGGATCAACTCTCGGATGAAGGAAAGGATTTTGTCAGGCAATGCTTGCAAAGGAACCCATCACATCGTCCTACCGCCGCCCAGCTTTTGGACCACCCATTTGTCAAATCTGCTGCACCTGTGGAAAGATCTCTACCCAGCCCTGAATTTACAGATACACCCCCTGGTTTGACCAACGGGGTGAAAGCTCTGGTATTTGTTCATAAACTTTCCCTGGTTTAAATTGTCAAAACTTTGCTTCAGTGAGATTCTACTTGCAAACCAATTATCAAGTCCTTTTTCTTGAATTGCGGGATCTGATAATGTTTCAGGGAATTAGTCAAGCTAGAAATTTCCCTACCTTGGATACAGAGAGACTTGCTGTTCATTCATCTAGAGTCTCCAGAAGCGGCCTTCATGCCAGGTCTCTCTCTCTCTTACTATCTCTTACTCCCTCACACTCACACGAACAAGGCACCGCCACACATTTTTTCTCGGAACTAAGCTTTTGACATGATTTAAGCTTTTGAATTTTGTAGCGATATCCATATCCCAAGGAACATATCTTGCCCAGTCTCGCCCATTGGTAGTCCTCTTCTGCATTCAAGGTCTCCACAACATCTTAATGGAAGAATGTCTCCGTCGCCAATATCTAGCCCCAGAACAACCTCAGGCTCTTCAACACCTCTTACAGGTGGCATCGGTGCTATTCCTTTCAATCACATGAAACACTTGGTTTATTTCCAAGATGGAACTTATGCAAACATATCAAAGCCAACATCAAATGGTATGTACCCAAACGGCTCATCATATCATGAGACCGATATTTTCAGAGGAATGCAGCAGCCTGGGAATGGGCCTAACATGTCCGAGCTGGGGCCACGACTAGCTCTTGGGGAAACTTATGATGGGCAGTTGGTGTTGGCTGATCGGGTATCTCGCCAGCTTTTGAAGGATCATTCGAAGTTGAATACACCCTTGGACCTTAGCCCTAAGTCGCCTTTGCCCAGCCGGACCACCGACGGTATCTAACTTCCATTCATAGTTTTTTGGCGATCCTACTACCCTATCGGAGTAACTTCTAAGCTAGCCTCTCCAGGACGGTATTATTTGGTTCTAACAGGATCAATTTATCCAACTTTTGGGATTCTTTTCTGTCAGGATGCTAATGTAAACAATAAGGTCGCGTGAGGATGGAAATGAGGAATAAGGTTGGTTGGTTCAGATTTGAGAGAGAGAGAGAGAACAATGCTAAGCTGGCTGATGCTAGGTTCTTCTGGTAATGTTATTTTGGGTCGATTTACTAGGGCCAGCTTGTGGCTGCATTGTTCCAATGTGTGGCAGTTGGTTAGCTTGGAATGCAAGGCAGGTATATTCTTTTAGAAGATCGCGGCGAGATAACAGAAGACGGAGAAGGGAATTTGGCGCCTTTGTTAAGTTTTGTTCAGATTGATGTACAGAAGTTGGATAAAGTGAAGTGAATGTGCCAATTGGAACTGAAGAATCTGTTTGGGAAATGGAGCCTTGTGCATATCTATCTTGCTGGCTTCTTATAACTGTCCTGTTGTATAACTGAACTCTGTTTTCTGTTGGAAACTGAATTTGTTGTTGTATGTACACACCACTAAGAGTATATGGACGCTGAGAAGCTGTTGATTCCCATGATTTTTCTGCTCTTACCTGTCATTCTGCAGGTAATTGAGATAGACCATTGCCAACTAGAACATAGGTGTTTCTTGGGACTCAAGTTATCCCTGCACAACGCCACTGCATACTAAACTATTATAGGTAATCACACTACACAAATCCATACATTTACACGACCTTGAGATGTCCAGTAAATTCATGAACCCCTTAATACGCTACAAACACCTGTCCATTGAAAATCTCGACTTTTACTCGTAAGCCAGCAACTTCCATTACCATATACATGAGGAACTGTAGAGGTCAGCTGAAAGTCTCTGGTGCTTCGAGACAATTACTTCTACTAGTCTTTTCTATCTTTCATGTTTTTCTATAAAATAAAATAACAAGGAGAGATTGGATATAAATAATTGTCGTGGAAAAAAAACATTTATTTTTTGAAGGGTCCTGTAATAATCTGTGGCTTTTTCATGGATGATTACTTGACCAACTCCATGCTGAAGTCCCATAGCTTCTTTCCCAAGGCAGCATCCTGCCCAAAAGAGGTTGGTTTCGACAAATTACTGTCAGAGAAATACTCGCCACTTATCCCTTTCACCTGTGGATGCAATGCGACGTAGCAGGTTGTAGCTGCACCCTGCAGATCATGAATCAACCATTTTGAACACCAAGACAGTTCGGGTTAATGGGGGATTCAAACTAACCAAGGAGGGTCAATGATCACTCACCTGCTCAACATTCTTGAATGCAAGCTTACCAACTGCTTCGATTACGCCTGAAACCACAGGAACTGTATGTACTTTATGATTTTTAAGAGACCATGTAAGAAAGAAATCTGTAAGAGATTACTCGTATTAAGGCAAATACCAGAGATGAGAGTCATGTGACGGAAAAGATTGGTGGCAATTACTCCAGGATGAAGAGAATTTGCAGTTACATTTGCCCCTTCTTCCTGTTTATTAAGACAATTGGTGATCATTCTTTAGCAAAAGCGCATGCTACTCTAGTTGACATGTTTATTTCAATTGAACAGGCATTCGATTGCAGAGCAATTCACATCACTTAATTGAAATATGGTACTAACAAGCTTGTACCTTTAAACGTCTGGAAAGCTCCTTTGCATGCAAGATATTAGCAAGCTTTGATTGCCCGTATGCAAGGTAAGAGGAATATCTGTACACAGGTAAAACCAATGACTTCTTTTTCACTCTGAGGTCAATATATTGAACCATGCATGAAAATGACGCACTAGATTCTGAATGTTACGCAAAATGACCAAAGTCTTCACCGTCCCTATGGCTGTTTGGAAAGTTATTTGCATAAAAACTAAGAAACTGCAGCCCATGAAGCTTAATATAGAATAGAATTCCGTCTAATGGCAGCCAAACAGTCGAAACTCGTGAGTTGATGGACGAAGATCCACTATATTAACTTAAGTGCATTCCAGAAACCAAAGCTCATTCAGAAAATTATTACAAGATGGCCATTAGACATCTTGCGCACAAACTGGAACTAAGTTTGAGCAAAACAATTAGACAATCAAATTGCATAAGACCTGGTGAGGGATGAACTATGGAAAATTCATGCAGTGGTTGATGTATGACAGCATAATTACCCTGACTTGTCATTAATTTTATCGAAACGGATGCCGTTAGGATATGTAGCCCGGTGAGCCTCTGACGCAACCACTACAATCCTTCCTTCCTTCTTACTTTCGACAGCAGTTTTTTTCATATTCTCCAACAGTAGATTGGTCAGGAGAAAATGACCTGCAGCGTTTTAATCATCTTTACTACTGAAAAAGCCCCCAGAAAGTAATCACTAGACTAGATTATGAACCAAAAGCATACCCAAATGGTTAGTTGCGAACTGCAGCTCAATCTTGTCTTTGGAAAGTGTGAAGGGGGTTGCCATAACGCCTGCATTGTTACTTTCAAGTAAACCAAAGTGGAGAGTTCAGTAATCCATCTACAAAAAGAGTAAGGGGAATGAGGTAACATATGTTTAACAATAAATACTAGTGGTGTTGTACATACATAAGAAGGTTGAGACGACGACCAGAGGAGTTGAAAGCTGAGGCAAATTTCCGGACGGAGGCCAAAGAACTGAGGTCCAATTCCATGGCATCAACTTTGGCAGAGGGGGCTTGTTTAACAATTTCTTCTCTCACTTTTTTACCTGAATCCATATTCCTTACCCCCATGACTACATTAACTCCCCTCACTGCCAAAACACGAGCTGTTTCAGCACCAATCCCACTGGATGCTCCTATATTAACAAGAGAACAGTGAAATTGATAGTCAGCACAAACAAAGTCATAATTTCCTTATCTGCACATGAGAGAAATACAACTTAAACGGCTCCAAGTCAACTGTACTCATTTTCCGCAGTTGTTTTCCATCAAAATTGTCCTACCGGCAAGCAGAGATAGTCAGTTAAGGAAAGAAGCAAAACCCCGAAATCCAGATTCCAGAATGACAAAAACCCACCATCAACCTGAAAGGTGAACTTTTTATAGACAGTGTACAACCCAGAGTTGGAGATCCCTTTGCTAAAAACATTCATATATACTTCTACGCCTAACTTCAGATGGGGAGGTGTCAGCCCATAAATGAAGTTGGAGTTCCAGAAATGGGCAGGCCACAATTCCAAAAGAAGGGAACAACGTTCCACCATGAACATATCAACAGAACCATGTCGGCAGAAACCGAACCCACAAGAGGCCCCATTACCCACTCCCCTACAACCTGATGAATCTACCACAAGAAACATCGAACACCACAGACCCCTTTCCCAATTCGTCTTTCTTTCGTTCCATTACTTATACACATGAGTTCGAATATGCAACACAGTTAGGAAATGAAAAGAAACGAGGGATAACAAAAGAACCTGTAACAATGGCGGTGAGAGAAGAGGCATCAATCCCAGAAGTGACTTGCTCGGCAGTGGAAGAAGAAGAGAACCCAGATGGCCCATTCTTCTTGAACAGCCACATCCCGCTTCCCTCCCTCGCCTGACGACGTCTCCTCCGTTTATGGGTCAAGAAACTGTAAAGATAGTGGCAAGGAGAGTAGAGCGTTAAATATTATGATTCAGGGGCCAGCCAAAGCCAGGCAGGCTTGCTCACTTCTTCTAGCACAACTCCCAGCAGTTAGAGTAGTGGAGGCCCTCTGTCGTTTCCCAACTGGTAACCCCCAAACTTAATTCTATTAAACATCGACCCTAGATTTGGGACCATCCCCCATTTTCGTAGGACCTTCTTCCGCTGTTCCTGCACACAGACACATCATCCCCACTCCCTTCTCACTAGTCAATTATCTTCCTCCCCTTTCTTAATCACGCCATTAAAGTTTTTGCCTTCACCCACTAATTCTGTGTCAGCTGTCTTCTTACCTGTTTTAATCTGTTGGGTAGGGTTATTCAGACCATGCGTTGATCTCAGGAGCTCGATCATGCTGCCATAGCCATCCCCATCAATCGTTCATCGCCTACCTTTTTGGCAGGAGCAGGCTCTGATTTCAACTTGATCCGCGATTCTGTTCTGTTGGGGTTTGGCTCACTCAACCCGCTTAGTCGTCCATCACTCGATAATTATTACCTTCGCAAGAAGCGGGGACTTATCCTGATTCAACATGGATTCTGAAGAGTTATAGACCGCATATTGCGCCGGGATAATATCTTTCCTTTTTGACAAAATACACTTCTATAGCCATGGCCCATGACTTTCACGTTTGTGACAAATATAGCCATAACTATTCGAAAACCAAAAATAGCCAATTCCGTCCATTTTATTAACGGCGTCAGTTGACGATATGACTGTAGAAGATGCTGATCTGGCGATTTACTGTCCCCACCAACTGACGTGGATTAAAAAAATAAAAAAAAATCATAAAGCAACGGGGCAACTGGGTCGAAAAATTAAAATAAAAAAATCATAAAGCAATCTGGGCAACTCTTATCTTCTTCGCCTCCCACTCTCTATCAACATCCTCGTCGTCATCCAAGAACCGACCACCACCTCCGGCTGGGCCACCAGCTCGTCACCTCTTCCCCAGCGGAAGCCGTCAAAATCTTGAGAACCCACGACCACCTCCTCTCCGGTAGATATGTCCCTACAGTTAAATCTCACTTCTTAATCGTCGTTCCCAATCCAAAGCCCACGGCGGCGACGGCGGCGGCTGCAACTACTCCACAGGCCTTCTTCTTCCCCTACCAACAATGGGACTGCGAATCAAGACTTGAAGTAGGATTTCGATCCCATCTTCTGAAGGCTACACATGTTGCTATTCAGACGAGATCCAGCGCCGTTGTTGCCGCAAAAGATTGGGAATGCTGTTTCTTGTTGTGGTCCTGTATTCTCTTTCGAGGAACGCGTTCGCGAGATCAAAGAGGTCAGCGACAGGGAAGGATCGGACATCATCGTTGTAGCCTTCAGATACGCCGACTGGGTAGCAGGAAAGGAAGGGACTAAAACGGCAGGAATGAAGACCAAACCCCAATTCTTGATTCCGATAATATTGACCCTGCCGGCGAGAGATTCTCCTCTCTGGATCAACGACTCCACCACTACTCTGTTGGCGAACATAATAAATTGGTGGATTTGGATGAGGAAGGGGATTTGAGCTTATTATAAGGGTTCTGGTTAAAAGAATAGGGGTAATTTTTTTGGGGTTTTCTGGTGAACAATGGGTTTGGGTAGCAGGCGGCAGGGAGTGTCTGGGGTTGATGCTAGTTGAATCGGTAGGGAAGGGAAAAAATTAGTGAATTTTTTTATTTCAAAATTAATTATTTTAATATTTCAAAATTAATTATTTAAATAATTTAAAATGACGTAGCAATGATACGCTGACTAGTCGCTGACGTGTGCGATGATTTGGGATCCTAGTCAGCCTAACGTTAACCTAACTAACGGAGTTTCTAACACCGTTAAAGTTTCTAACGGAAATGGCTAGATTTGTCACACGACCATCCATTTTCTTGGCTATTTCGTGTTTTCGAATAGATATGGCTATATTTGTCAAAAACGTGAAAGTTATGGCTATACAAGTGTATTTTGCCTTCCTTTTTCCTTTGCATCTCCCTTTTGAGCTTTGCCATTTAGAAAGCCCATAACAGACGGTCAGCCCGTTTGTGTTTACAAGTTACAGTGAATCATAATGGGCCGGGGAGGAGGAAGAAGCATTTGAATAGTAACTGTAAGACCAACTTAAAAAAAAAACAGAGCGCAAATGGGCGTTCTAATCCTTAATTGTTAAAATATCTTGGGGTTTGAACCCCAATAGCATCGAAATACAGCCAGTATCTTAGGTCAGCACCTGGATTTTCAACATAGTGAACATCAACAGTCAGGGAGTGCCCCACCTAAGCTAGATGATCCGCCACAAAGTTAGCCTCCCGAAAAACATGGCCAATCGAGACTTCCCATTCCCGCTCTAGCATCTGCCAAATAAAAGACACCATCGTGAAGTGAGGATGTGAAGTATTAGTTGACTATAAGAGCGATATAGTTGTAGAGGAGTCAGTCTGCACCACTATTTTACGATGCCCTCGGTCCCAAGCAGTTTGCATTCCATAAGCGATCCCCGCCAGCTCTGCATAAGTAATGGATCCTCCTCCTAAATTTATCGAGTAAGCAGCCACAAAACGGCCATCGTTATCTCTTAAGATTCCTCCCGCCGCCGAGCTTCCCTGCGCCAGATTGACTGATCCATCTGAGTTCATACTTATCCATCCAAGAGGGGGACGCTGCCATCCAATGTAACTTTGCATATTATGGCTGCCATCCTCCAGTATTGACCCTCTATTCTCAAATGCCTTCTTACTATGCTCTCCCAAATGCCTCGCCATAACAGAAAGTTGATCCGCACATGCAAGCTTTTCCTCAAATACCCACAGGTTGCGGTTTTTCCACAACTGCCAACACAAAATTGCAAACACTGACGGATCCACAATTCTGCTTTTGACCGATAAGTAGTAGAGCACCCATATCGTTAGATCATACTGGGAAAAACTCTGTCACGTTCGCCCTCCAACACGTGCGACCACACTTCACGAGCGTACGGGCAGTCACGTAGTACATGGAGGAATGATTCCGGTTCAGCCCCGCATATCGGACAATTATCGGAAGTAGTCATGTGTCTTCTGCAGCGCTCCCCATTGGTTAGTAGCTTTTTGTGTAAAACTATCCAGAAGAAAGTGCGCTGCGCTGGGGTCCTTGAATTTTCCAAACAGATTTCCATGCGGGGTGCTGTTCCCGGGGCTCATCCTCGTCTAGAAGCAATTCATAGGCTGTGCGTACCGTAAACTTCCCCAAATCCGAAAACCTGCAGATAGGGATGTCCGGTTCAACTCCATGTGGCACCGGATGAAGTTGCAGCTGGAGAACAAATGCCTCCGGAAGAAAGGAGAGAACAAAAGCTAGGTTCCACTCGCCGTTGAGGACAAGTTCAGCTACCCGCCAAATTTTTGCCGCTTCGAGAAGATTCTAGGCAAAGTTCTCTAGGGGCGGTCCATCCTGCAACCATCTATCCAATCAAAACCGAGTTTGCATACCGCCCTTACGTTCCACATAGTGCCTTCTGGGATATAGTTCAATACTCGAAGAACTCCTCGCCATAAATTCGATAATCGACCATTCCTTCTAGGCTGCCACATACCATCCACTTCTCTAAGATACTTCCCTCGAATAACTTGAGCCCATAGACTAGTTGGTTCAGTAAATAGCTCCCAGGCAATCTTCAACATAAATGCATCATTCATCTTCGTCGCACTCCTCAAACTCAAACCTCCTTCTTCCTTAGGTTTACATAGAGAGTCCCCATTAACTAAATGGACCTTCCTTCCCTGCTCCGAGCTCCCCTAGATGAAACCCCTTATCTTCTTATCAATATACTCCCTGACTGAGGCCGGGAGAAGGGATGTCTGCATCGTGTAAGCTGGAAGAGAGGACAACACTGCCTGGGCTAGCGTAATGCGTCCTGCTAATGACAGCAAGTTAACCTTCCACCCCGCAAGTCTGGAGTCAATTCGATCAATAGGCTCGGTATAAGTTGCTTTTGACACCCTTCCATGGCTCACAGGGATGCCTAGGTACCGACCCAAATTCTTAGTCTCGGGTATATCCAGTGTATTACTCAAACTTGCTCCTACTACTCCTGATACGTTGGAGAAGAAGATTCTCGATTTAGGTTTACTGATTGCCTGCCCGGAAGCTACACCAAAATCCTCCAAGCACTTCAAAATTACTTGTACTTGCTGCATAGACGCTGCACTGAACACGATCAAGTCATCCATGAAGAACAAGTGTGACAACTTCGGTCCATGTTGTGATAAACTTATAGGCTTCCACTCTTCTGCATCAATCGCAGCATCAATCAAGTGACCCAATCTCCCCATACATAGAGTGAACAGATAGGGTGACAGTGGGCATTTCGGTCTAAGCCCCCTGGACGGAGAGAAAGCTTCGATGAGGCCACCATTCCATTGGATCTGCATTTTGGCGGATGAGATGCAGCTCATAGTCAGCTCTATGAATTTCGTCGGCGCGTCCACAACTTCTAGCATATCCTGAACAAAGCTCCACTTATCCTGTCATACGCCTTAGCCAAGTCAACTTTTAGTACCATCCAGCCCACCTTGCTCTGCTTTGCCTGCATCTAGTGGACAACTTCCTGCAAAAGACATATGTTATCAGTAATATGCCTGCCCGACACAAAACTCGTCTGTGTAGCATGAACCAAACTCGGCATCAAGGGCTTGATCCGCTCTGCCAACACTTTGTTACCATCTTATACGCTACATTGCAGAGACTAATTGGTCTAAAATGTTCTATCAAAGAGGGCATCTGGATTTTCGGAATCAGTGCAACGATGGTCTCATTCACTTCCTGGACTTGCAATGGTGTATGCCAGCAAGACTTCACAAACTCCACCACTGCAGTGTAACATTCTCCACCATGTCTAGCTTCCAATAGCTCAATCCTAGGAAGAATAGCATTCTTCCTTCTAATAATATGACCAAAAGTCTCCACGTTCCACTTCTTTGCTTCCGTAATGAACTCATTAATGGATGAGAGAAAATCCACCCCTCTCGCCCACGCCTGACTAGCCATCTCGTTGAACCACTCATGAGTTAACCATGCTGCCAGGAATTTAAACGGTTTTGGGCAATAGGTGGGATGTCGGGTTCATTGCCACCAGGAGTGGTCAATGATCGCTTTTGACCTTGGGAAGATGCCGCACAGTTGCCTCAGGGAACATGTCACTCCAGGCAGCATTACCAATACCTCTATCCAGCCTTTCCTTCACACCATGCTTAAACCACGTGAACGATGGTCCAGCAAACCCCAAATCCACTAGCCCGACATCTAGAACGCAATCCTGAAATTCCTTCGCACGGCTAGCATCAAACGGTGCCCCACCAGACTTATTTGACGGTTGCAGAATGGAGTTAAAATCTCCTACAAGAAGCTATGGATCCTCCATAGTGTCAGCAATCTCCCTAACCGACTGCCATAATGCCCGCCTCTGAACCAAGGCTGGATTAGCATACACAGCCGATAGATACCAGCTAGCATCTTTCGTCGTAACATGAGCCAGAAGCATTTGAGCCGATCTGTCCACTTCTGTAATCGTGGCAATGGACGAGTCCCAGACCAACCA